CATATTTAATATTGATAACCCCCTTTTATAATTTTCTTTACAATTATAAATTATTTCTTTTATTGAAAATCGGGCAAATTTCCAATTCCGGTTAGGTTGTTCCTATTGGTTGGCGGTTTATTGGCGTGCTTTCATGTGGACATGTGGACTGTGGTTAATGGCGCTTATGGCGCCCATGGTAGAAATACAAGGGTATGCTCTTGCGCATATTTCCGAACCCAGCCAATCAGCGACTTGGTCAAGCTTACGTCACACTGAGCGGCACATTTAAGCAGCGAATCTATAATAGTCATTTATAAAAGCATTTTGAGCGGACAATATGTGAATACAAAATAATGTTGATCATTTATGTGAGAGAAAATTCTGTTTTATAAATAAATAAATATATATGAACAAAAATATATAAATATAAAAAACGCACGTGACATACGGATAAACGCTCATCGTTTCCCGAATTTGTCTCTCGTTGTAGATGTTAGAAACGTTATTGTTATTTGACGAATTTTATAATTATTTTATGTGGATTTGTCTAAATATATGATATTACAGAAAATATTATTATTATTAAGAAAAAAAGAATTGTGTGCATTGAATAAAAATCATTGCGACGTACGGAAAAATTTCACATAAAACGAGATTTTAATTTCCAGTCATTTATTATTAAAATTCTGCGAATTATTAGTTTTAATCAAAACTGGTCGGAAAACGATTGGAAAAGAATTGTCAGCTGAGACGCAAAACAAAAATATATTGTGGCGTACGACATAAAGAACTATATATGCAGAGGAAAGATGCAGATAAAAGATCAAATAACAATAAATGCAAATATTTAATATACAGGTTTTTTATTAGTAAAACATTCTTCATATAACGATATGCCTTTGGGCTGACACATCGCAAGGATATAGCACGTGCGATATCTTCAGAAGACCACTTTATTTTCCGCAATGAAGGATTCAATATCATCCGTATTTGTCCTGGACTAAACATTTTTCCCAATAACTCCGTCATTTTTTGTTCCATGAGTTCTTTATCGTCTTTTTTCAGTGCGGCTACCTGGGCTTCTAGACGACGTCTGAAAGCATAAAACTATATAGTGCTACTTTTAAAACTACACCCAGCAAACCAGAACTATATATATTTATGTATTAGTAATATAATAACGATATGTAATGTCAGCACATTTATGTGGTTTGTTATGTAACTGTGTAAATATGGTTGAGCTGACATTACATATCGATGTTATATTACTGACACATATACGGTTCTTATTTGCTGGGTATACTTTGTGCTTGATGGGAACAGTAATTTATAACTTACATTTGTAACATGATAGCTTCTGTACTGGACGATGCTGGTGTCTGTTCTTCTGTACTGGACGAT